ATTCTGTGCCCTCTGAGCATGCTTAATCCTAAATGGACTGTTAAGGATCCCCCCTTCCCCTATTTTGGGGTTGGGTGTGAAAGTGTGGGATGGACACACTGGTGGCGCTGACTCCCATCTACATGAAAATCTCGGATTTTGCCACCGATTGTTACGGACAGTTCTTGCATCAGTCCCTGGAGTAATTTTTTGGGCAGAGGGCAGTCCAGACTCAGAGGCAGGAGAGGAAAGGGGCCAGCTGACACAGATGAGGCAGCCTGCTGAAGAATCCAGGGGATCCCCCTCTCCTGCTGTGACCAGCTCCCCTCTCCCCTGGTCTCCCAGAACACACAGAGAAATGAAGAGGGCAGAGCAAGGAGAGACAAGATGACAGAGCCTTAGGCTGCTGGGGAAGGAACCGAGGGAGGAGACTTAGGCAGCACCGGGAAGTCAGGGACCTTCAGTCCTATCAACGGCTTCATTGGGGCCAGACCAACTGGGAGGAGCTGCTGTGACCACTAGGCCTGCTTGTGTGCAAGTGTCATTTGCAGCCTGCTGCTGCTGCAACTCATGCATTCTTTACCCGCTGTTGAAAATCATTCATGAAAATGGATCCTTATGTGAGCCTCTTCGAAATCAAGAAGGCGCAAAGGGTCTCATCGTGATCAGGGAGCCAAACCCGGGGTAGATCCAGGCTTCTCTAACTGGGTTGCATAAACCAACCGTGTTAACGAGGGATTTTGCACACTGCGGTGAAATATATGATCAGTAGGTGGATAATCATTAATGGGAAGTTGACGCATGAGATGAAAGATGTTTTGAACATTGCCCAGGCAATATGCATTGCCCTCAAGCAGAGAATATACACAGGGACTGGTCAGTCTGCACACAGCCAGAATGAGACTCTCGATTTGTGCACATTGCTCTCTGGGGTCACTTGTCCATGGATTAAATGGGCAGTGGGTTAAGTCTCCTGACCGTGCTCTAAGCGCATCCCCATTCTCCCCTCTTGCATGTGAAGGTGTGCTGGTGTCTATTTACCTTTTCCACTCAGCTAAACCATTAAGCCTCTTGGGCTTGCCGATCGGAAGGCTGGCGGTTCGAATCCCTATGACGGGATGAGCTCCCTTTGCTCTATCCCAGCTTCTGCCAACCTAGCATTTCAAAAGCATACCAGTGCAAGTAGATAAATAGGTACCGCTGTGGCGGGAAGGTTACCTTTACCTTTGCCTAACCTTAACACATATTTTTGCTGGCTGGTCAACTTTTGTTAAACTGATCCATGATAAACTTTCAGTGAGTGTGCCTGGAATTAACAGAAGAAACTCAAAGATCCTTAATCACTAGCGAAATCTTTTTCCTGATCGCCTTCAGAAGGGGACACCCTTTGGAGCAGAGGTTCCCAGAGTGGGTGGTACTGTCCCCTGGTGGGTAGTGAGATTATCTAGAGCGTGCTAAGAGGCAAGGGAGCAGCAGGGGGCCAATAAGGGTTTGGATGACTATTGAAATTTGAGAAGCTGCTAACTTTGGATCAAGTTCATCAGTTTACTTGAACTTATTAAACTAAATAGTTAGCAGTGCAATTGAGTAAGAACAGTAAAGAGTTGTTTTAACAGTGGAACGGTCTCCCTCAGGAAGTTGTGGACTCTCCTTTCTTGGAGGGTTTTTTTTAAATGTATTTTTAAAAAAGATTTTCTTGATTTACAAAGGTATGTGCAATGTCTCTCGTATTTTTTTCTCCATGTAACTTTTTTTTAAATCGGTTTCATTTGTTGAGACATTAGGAAGAATAGGGGGAAAGAGGTGGAGGGGGGCGAAAGATGAGTAGGGGTGGGGTCGGGTGGTGATGTTTCTGATTTACTTAATATATGTGGGGTTTGGTGTCAGCGTTGCTTGTGCAGGTTCCCTGCTGTTCACTTGTGTTCCTTTGGTGGTGAGAGAGGTTGGGGTTGGCCTAGAGTGTGGTTGTTCATTTGTGGTTGGCTGTGGTGGTCTTTGTTTTCATGTCTGAGTGGGGTGGGTGGGTGTTTTGGATCAGGTTAGCCATATTGATTTGTATGCTATTGGTGGATTCTTGTCGTTGTCTTGTTGGGCTGTGTATGTTATAAAGGAGAGCCATACCGGGGTGAAGGCGTCTTCTTCTATTTGTCCCATTGTCAGTTTATTGGCTATTTTTTCTAGGAGAGCTGTTTCCCGTACTATTTGGTACCATTGGTCCATGCTTATTCCTGACAGGTCTCTCCAGTGTCTGGTTATGGTGTTTCTGGCTGCTGAGAGTAGGTGGGTTATGACTTCCTTGTGGTGTGAGTGGGCATTATTGTCTTGGAAGATGTTTAGTAGAGCCAATTCTGGGGTGATTTCTAATTTCCTTGGAGGTTTTTAAGCAGAGTTTGGATGGCCATCGGTCATGGACGTTTTTAGCTGACATTCCTGCATTGCAGGGGGTTGGACTAGATGACCCTGGGGTCCCCCCCAGCTCTACAATTCTATGGTTCTGTGATTGTTACTATTTTGAGTTTTAGAATCACAGAATTGGGAGGAACCCCACGGGTCATGTAGTCTAACCCCCTGCAATGCAGAGATCTCAACACACAGTCCCCCCATCCAGTTTGAAATCATGTTTTGTGTACTCTTCCTTAGTGAGTAGTGCAAATAGCTATCTTGAATAATGCCCTTTATCGTGGAGGGCAGGAGGCACTGGGAATGAGCTTATGGAGTTGCGGGGAGGGGGGTGGCTAGAAAAAGTCTAGGAATCACTGCTTCAGAACTTCTTAGCTGGGTTTGAGAGGCAGAGAGAGGGAGCCTAGAGCGCCTAGCTTCTGGCTGACCAGCTTAGTGCCCTCCAGATGTTTCAGTTGGACTAAATGACCCTCAGGGACCCCTTCCAATTCTAGGATTCTAATTCCCACCAGCCGCAGCCAATATGGCCAATGATCAGGAATGATGGGAGATAATAATAATAAATAAATAATACATTTTTATTTATACCCCGCCCTCCCCGGCCAGAGCCAGGCTCACGGTGGCTAACACCAATAAAATTACAATAAAACAAACCAACAAACCAACAAAAAACCTAGTTTATCAAAATATGGGTTAAAATACAATTTAAAATGCAGCCTCATTTTAATAGTAGCCCATAAATCAAAACCATAAGGGGAGGGAAACATAAGGGTCAGACTGAGTCCAAACCAAAGGCCAGGCGGAACAGCTCCGTCTTGCAGGCCATGCGGAAAGATAACAAGTCCCGCAGGGCCCTAGTCTCTTGTGACAGAGCGTTCCACCAAGTCGGGGCCAGTACTGAAAAGGCCCTGGCCCTAGTTGCGACCAATCTAACCACCTTGCGACTTGGGACCTCCAGAGTGTTGTTATTTGTGGATCTTAAGGTCCTCCTCGGGGCATACCAGGAGAGGCGGTCCTGTAGTTCAGAATATCCAGAGAGCAGCATTTAGGCTATCCTTGGTCTAAGCTGGAGTTAGCTGAAACTGGGTGGGCAGCCTTGTGTTGGGGCTGCAACAGCTGTTCCCTGGTGATCTGTTGAGTGTAGGAGCCCATTCGCTTCCAGTAAGCTGCGCTTGTACATCTGTATATTGATATTACAAAAACAGCTTAAGTCTTTCCAGGGCTCTTCTGATCTAAATGAAACGAAACCCTGTTAACCCTGCCACTGTGGATTGTCTCAGGGAAGTGAAGCGGATGCAGAACTATATATTCAGATTTATGTATTTTAAACAGGGTTACGACCTTTAAGCAGTTTAATTAATAGATTAATCAATTAAAGCTTCAATTGGTGAATTAATCAAGGCTCTGCTTTGCTTAGCAAAGGCAAATTTTAATCAATGGGGCCAAGGGTTCACAACATGTTTATTTATTTCTCCTTGTGCTATTCTGGTGTGCCCCTGTAGGAAGTATGGGCGAGGTTTCGGTCCTTAATCTGCTGATCAATCAGCTAAAGTGATTAATCAGCATCTTTCTTTTGTAATTGGTTGGTCCACTTGGTATTGATTGCGGCTCATAAATACAATTAACAGCTGACCCAAATAAACAAAACCAGGACCAGGTCAAGTTTTGATATGGGGACTTATTCTTTGGGGCTCTTGCTGAACCAACATTTCTTTTTAAAAAAACCCCAAAGATGTACACTTTAGGCAAACAGGAAACTTTTGCACTGGACTGCAACCCTACTTCCAGGTACCCTGGATGCGTGTGGTGCTGTGGTCTAAACCACTGAGCCTCTTGGTTTGGTGGTTCAAATCCCCGTGACGGGGTGAGCTCCTGTTGCTCTGTCCCAGCTTCTGCCAACCTAGTAATTCAAAAAGCACACCAGTGCAAGTAGATAAATAGGTGCCGCTGCGGCGGGAAGGTAAATGGCGTCTCCGTGCGCTGTGGCTTCCTTCATGGTGTTCTGTTGCGCCAGAAGTGGTTTAGTCCTGCTGGCCACATGACAAACACCAGCTCCTTCGGCCTGAAAGCAAGATGAGCACCACAACCCCATAGTCACCTTTGACTGAACTTAACCGTCCAGGGATCCTTTACCTTTTTTTTTAAAAGCCACTGCACCAACCCCCCCCCCCGGAGTATTCTGGCTCCACCCCCAAGGCCCACCCAGCTACCAGAATTTTTTATTTCCGGAGTTGTTGGTGAGGCTTAGTCCAGTGGTTCTCAAACTACGCCTCTCTGCAGTCCAGCCTGAAATTCCTGGTGGTCTTGCCAGGCCACTTAATGGTTTTTCTGCCTGCCATTGATTTTGCTGCAAATTGCAATGCACTGAGCTAGATGCTGCATGATATTAAAGTATATTTTTATTGCTGCTTTTATTTTTTACACATTGCATTTTATTGTATAACAGTTTGAATTCCGTAGAATGTCCTCCTTCAGCTCTATGGAAAAACGAACCACGCTATACACAGACGCACAGAGAGGGTCTCTCTCTCTCTCTCACACACACACACACCCTACAACTAGACATCTGTCTGAGCCCTCTTTGAGGCAACCTCTGACCTCACTGTCCTTTTCTCTTGAAGGTAAATGTTGAAGACACTGTCGAAATGTTACCCAAGTCCCGGCGAGCACTCACCATCCAAGAAATCGCGGCCCTCGCCCGGTCCTCATTGCACGGTAAGCGGCTAGGAATGGAGTTTGATGAGAGTGTCTCCATTTCTGGGGCAAACCAACACTGGGCCTCATTTCAGTCACTGTACGCTCTGTATTTCTTTCCCAGTGGAAGCTCAAAGCAACTAGCAGCATCCAAGCAACAATAAGGCAAGAGTAAAACTCATTGAATCACTACTGGCTCAACTTTCCTACTTGATGGGCTGCTTCCAGGTGTCTTGTTTATTGAGCACCCATCCTGATTTACTTACAGGGAGATTACACAACTAAGCAAGCGCAATCCAATGCTTTAAAGAGTATTTCCCTGTCACTTTCCTTAATGCAAAAAGACTATTTTGGGGGGGAGTGGATTTTTAGCTCAAGATGTCCCAATCCACTATAGCTGCGCAAAACTGAATTTGACGGCATGTGATTGAATCCTACTTGAAAATAGAGACATACTGTGGATACACACCGTACATTTAAAGGACATTTCATTCCCAGAGAATCCTGCAAACTGTAGTGTACAGTTCCCAGCACCCTTAACAGATTAGTGTTCCCAGGATTCTTGGGGCGGGGCGGAGATGTGCTTTAAATATATGTTGTGTACACTGCCAAAGTCTCAGTTGCAATCATTAGGGGTGCTGGAGGGAATTTGCTGCCCCCTGTTCCCCTTCACCGCTTTCAAGAATTGGACAGCCAGTACAACCTTGAATTAAGACTGTCTTCTGGCTTGTGAGTAAGAAAATCCCAGCCCTTTGGCTTTCAAATACAGTGGTACCTTGGTTCTCAAACTTAATCTGTTCCAGAAGTCTGTTCCGAAACCAAAGCGTTCCAAAACCAAGGCATGCTTTCCCATAGAAAGTAATGCAAAATGGATTCATCCATTCCAGACTTTAAAAAACAACCCCTAAAACAGCAATTTAACATGAATTTTCCTCTCTAACGAGACCATTGATCCATAAAATGAAAGCAATAATCAATGTACTGTACTATAAAATAAATAAGGCAGTATTGTAGATGATAAAAATTAAAATTAATTTTTTTACTTACCTGCACTGGTGATAGTCATTGTTTGGATGAGGAGCTTTTATCTATTTCCGCAGTCACACAATCAACCAACCAACCAACCAACCAACCAGTAGCTGAACTGGGTTCCACACATTCACAAAAACAAATTAACTGAAAAAGCCTCGAAAACAGAAATGCAAAATAAATAGCAAAAACTAAAGCGTCGAACTTAATCCATGTCAGAAGCTCATTTGACTTCCGAAATGTTCGAAAACCAAGGGGCAGCTTCTGATTGCTGCAGGCACCCCAGAAACAATAGCCGACAGCCACATCGGATGGTCAGCTTCCGAAAAATGTTCGAAAACCAGAACACTTACTTCTGGGTTTTCGGCATTTGGGACCCAAGGGGTTTGAGAAGCAAGGTGCCACTGTAATAAAATATGTTGCCTGCTTTTGATCTGCCTCCCCACAGCAGCCCAAGCTGAAATGAGAGGAGGATTAGCATGAAGGAGTGAGCTGGGGTCTCCTCCAGCATGGCTCCCTTGGGTTATTTTAGAAGTTAACGCGGGCAGAAGCCCTATGCAATAATTAGAATGAAAAGCTCCCTTATCTCACCATAGTAATATGCAGATTAGATCATCCAAAATTAAGTCTGTACTGGATTGCGGGGAATGTTGCCAATATAATTGCTGGCCTCCATGGTGAAATGTACATTGTAGTTGCAACTCCTTGGCTGTACACCCCTCCTTGAAATGACTCTGTGCCACAATTTGTCTTGAAAAGAGACTTCTATGGGCTAAAGAAAGTTTATTTCAAGCCAAATTTCACAGGGGGATGGGCCATGGAAGGCCTCTGCAGACAGACACACGTCAAGAGACCCATGAGATAAGGAGTGAGGTTCTTCCACTCCTCCCACCCTGCTCTCATCGTAGGTACTTCCTCAAGGCAGGAGGAGTTCTCTGTTTGTCTCCCTTGTCTATTGGATGGTCATATATCTTACCTTGTAGGGACGTGGGTGGTGCTGGGGGTTAAACCACAGAGCCTAGGACTTGCCGATCAGAAGGTCAGTGGTTTGAATCCCCACGACGGGGTGAGCTCCCGTTGCTCGGTCCCTGCTCCTGCCAACCTAGCAATTCAAAAGCACATCTAAGTGCAAGTAGATAAATGGCATTTCCATGTGCTGCTCTGGTTCGCCAGTAGTGGCTTAGTCATGCTGGCCACATGACCCAGAAGCTGTACACCAGCTCCCTCAGCCAATAAAGCGAGATGAGCGCCGCAACCCCAGAGTCGGTCATGACTGGACCTAATGGTCAGGGGTCCCTTTACCCTTTTACCTATATCTTACCTTACATGGCACAGTCCTCAATTTGACGGGCAAAAAGAAAGAATGCTAAGGAGCGAGACTTACTGAGCATGCAAACAGCTCACATGGCCACCTTCTTCCCCACGATGGTGAGATGCATTGCATTTCTGTTTAAATCAATGTCACGAACCTATACAAATCTACATCCTATTTTATTTGGTAATGCATTTCCTCTTTTGTTTTGCAATAATCTCCTTGTCAATGGTCCTATGTCAAGCAAGGCCACAAACACTTATGCCACCATCAATTTGTTACCCTTAAGGTTGCCGCAGGAGATTTTGCGGCAACGCGTTCAAAATGGCTGCCTTCCTAGCACCCTTCATTTTTCCAGAGTCTGCTTTTGGCTGCAAGATTTCCCCTGGTAGTTACCGGATTTTCCTGCCCAGAGGCACATTGGCACTTTAATGATATTGTCATTGTTTTTACTAAGAATGCAAATTTTCTTAAAATTGTACCACCCATCTTCAGACCTCCCAGGAAACCCTTTCTGCATAGATTGGTTTGCCACGGATGGATTCATCCGCCAATACTCCAGAGTCCCTGTACCTTCTTCTTCTTCTTTTTAGCATTCTGGAACATGGTCTAATTTCAGTTAATACTGGAGGATAAACAGAGGTGTTGGGCCTACCTGTTTGCCCCCCCCCCCCATTTGAGAGGCCTCCTTCAATGTGCCCATACTCTCCCATGGGCGAACATTGCAGTGGAACATCTGTAATGGCCTTTTGGGCATCTTGCCCACCATTATTGAGCTTCTGGGCTCTTGGTAGGCTTCCGAGAAAACCTAGGATTTCATAGAACACAGTCTGAAAAACACCAAATCAAATCATTCCAAACACATTAGGCCAGCATTTCTCAAAGCGCTTTCCTAGGGGCTGTGCAGACCACTTAATAAACATCTTCTCTTCAATGGTGACAGCAACCTCAAAACCAGTGCTGCGTTATGAAAACTGTGGGCCTTGAGTTTCGGAGATAGGCCTCTAACTAGTAGAGTTTAATGGAAAAATCAGTACACTCCACCGGTATCCTATTATGAATACCACAGGCCCTATGCCCAGGACCTTAGTGGTGTATTTGGGCAAAATAATCAGAATCTTCATTGTCAGAAAAGAAAAAACCCCCAAACCCAGGGTCATTTATCAATCTTATCAGCTGTTCTACAGACCCCTTGAAACACCTGAGGACCACCAGTGGTCTGTGGATCAGTTTGAGAACCTCAGAATTTACAACCCAACTTCCCTCCAAGGAGCTCAAGGTGGCATTGATGTTCACAACTGTGTGTCTCAAGAGACAATGGAGTGCGCCTCCTAAAGCGAAGTCAAGCCGCTGCATTAGCAGCAGTGCATTGATCTCCCCAGGCCACAAGCCTGAGCAGTGTGTATGAGGGTCCTGGGCTCCCCACGTGACAAGACTCCCCTCTCACCCTCACTTATTTGGCCCAAAGAAAAGCAGAGCAAGACGTTTGGCACCAGCTTGGCTACAGGAGTTGCTAGAAGGAGGCGTACAAGGCGCCACCCAACTGTCTTAGGGACTCCACTTCAAATTTGTGTGATTCAAATTTGCTTCTCCTGAAGATATCCCACAAGGCAGTGGAGGTTTAGGGTCAAAGTTTGCTCCTTAGCCCTTTCTTCTCCCGAGTATAACCCACAAGGCAGTGGAGGTTTAGGGTCAAAGTTTTCCTTCTCCTAGATGGGCTACCTTCCCAGATTGACAAGCCCCACCTGCCCCTCACTTCCCTCTACAGCATGTGCAGAAACTGCCTTCTTGACCATAGCTGTCTTTACCTGGGGGTGCAAGGGGTGTGGGGCACCCGGGTGCCAAATTCTGGGGGGCACCACGTGCCTGCCACTGAAGCCACCTAAGCTCTGAACTATCTACCTGTTATGAAATAATAAATAATTTTGATCAAGCTAGAAAAACAAAATACATATATACCTAGGTATTACCGAAATGTATACCTGCTGTTTCACTAAAGGGCTTTCGACTTTGTGCGCTCATTTGCCAAAGATGCGCTGCACCAGCTGTGCTTGACTCAACGATAACACTTGTCATTCTCAACGGCGCTGTGCATGCAAAATTAACTCTTACATCATAATAAAAGTTAATTTGGGGGGCTAAGCTAAATTTGGGGGCGCTGTATGGAACTTTGCACCCTTGTGGCGCGCATGCTAAAGACTGCGCTGTTCTTGACTGTTGGACACACTCTTGATCACTGCTTGTTTTATTCTCACAACAACCCTGTAAGGTTGGTTAGGCTGAGACGTGGTGACTTGCCTCCTTGGCTAAGTGTGGATTTGAACCCTGTTCTCCCAGAGTCCTAGTCTATAACCATTATACCACTATAACCATTATACCACCACCCATTATATAACTCTCAGAACTGAAAAGGACAGGCCACTTCCCAGTCAAATAAGGGCACCCAAGTTAGTTCTGAACGTTATGGGACCCCTTACAAATGTTGCTGAGAGTTTCAGCTCTGCATAGCTTGATTTCTCTGTTTTTTACGTCAATCAACCAAGGGCAAGTTGCGTGACAAAGAGCCGGTGAATTGTCAATGAGCGGAGTTCTCATGTTACATTATCTCGCCAATCATTACGTCTCAATGGATGTGTGAAGCTGCTATAATCAGTTATTGCAGATCACTGCCTCTTAAATACGCCCAAGATAATTATCCGGCAACGGGGAAGGCAAGCCAGGGAGGTGATACGCCAACTGTAGCTCGTCTGTCACCTATTACATGATAGCTGTCACTGGAACTGAATGTGTGACATCCCAAGTGGCAAACACTTTCAGAAGGGATGCGCACAGGCTATAAATTCCAAAGCGTAGCTCAAAGTCAGATTTTCATGGCTTAGATTTGCTAAGCAAGGGGGCTGTAAACCTTCTCAGGCTGGATTGTGCAGCTCTGAGAGAGGCTTGGGTTACATGCGCAGCAGAATGAAGTGATCAGGAAGGGAGGCTGAGCTGTTCCCCTTCAGAGTGGATGGCCTGGTCCAGCTTTTGCCCTCCAGGTGTTTGGGTCTACAAAATAGTCCGCCGTCAGAGGCAGCATGCCTCTGAATACCAGCAGCTAGAAACCGCAGGAGGCAGAACGGCTCTTGTGCTAAGACCCTTCATGAAGGATTCCCACAGGGATCTGCTTGGCCACTGTTAGAACAGGATGCTGGCCTACATGGGCCCCTGGCTCTCCGCAAGTTCTTATGCACAACTCCCATCAAGCCCAGCCAGCACGCTGCTGGGAGTTGGTGCCTTCTTAATTTTATCCAGGTGGATAGCTCAGCTGGTTAGAGTGTGGTGTTGATAACACCAAGGTTGCAGGCTTGATCCTGGTACGGGACAGCTTCGTTTTCCTGCATTGCAGGGGGCCAGAGCAGATGAACCTTGGGGTCCCTTTCAACTCTACAATCCGTGATTCTATCATCTGCAGAGCACCAGACTGGTGAAGGCTGATGTGGATGATTGCATTATATTGAAAAGCAAAGACACACAACATAAAATTACAGTCATACCTCATGTTACGTTTGCTTCAGGTTGCGCGTTTTCAGGTTGCGTCCCACGGTGACCCGGAAGTACTGGAAAGGGTTACTTCCGGGTTTCGCAGCTTGCGCATGCACAGACACGCAAAATGACGTCACGTGCATGCGCAGAAGCAGCTAATCGTGACCCACGTGTGCACAGACACGGGTTGCATTCTTTTCAGGTTTCGAACAGGCCTCTGGAACAGATCCCGTTTGCAACCAGAGGTACCACTGTATTTAGAAATAGTAACAATCCCTGAACTCTTCCCAGCTGCTTCTGCTGTTCCTAAAGTCATGGTTTGGAAAAGGCTCCTAGGGCTGGAGGGTGGTGCAAGGCAAGTGGAAAAAGCCATTGCCTGATGGACAGCAGAAAGTCTCTCTCTCACACCCACCCACCCCAATGTGGGTTTCCTGCTGAAGGCCATTGCTGCATGTTTTGGGCAGGAGGGGATAGTTGGGATGATTTAACATGTGACGGAGCATGGCATCTAGTTGGCTCTTTTTATAAGGATGCCCTTTCAGCCGTTCCTTATCAGGTGCCTCTTCAGTCACGGGGTCTGGCTTCCACCCAAGGAGTGTGTGTCACGGTGTGTGCCAGCATCTCCATTTGCAGAATGGAGAGTTTCACCGCAAAGCAGAACCACGGATCATCTCAGCAGCTCCGGGGCATCCCCTCTAACCCTGCTTGCTCCATTGCAGGTATTTCACAGGTGGTGAAGGATCATGTGACCAAGCCCACGGCCATGGCTCAAGGCAGGGTGGCCCACCTCATCGAGTGGAAGGGCTGGTGCAAGCCCATGGACTCGCCGGTGGCTCTGGAAAGCACGTTCAACTCCTATTCGGACCTCAGCGAAGGAGAGCAGGAGGCCAGGTTTGCTGCAGGTAGGAACCGTCTGGGAGAGAGGGGGGAAGTAGGCGGCGAGGGGTGTGGTGTCAGATTGGGGATTTATCTACTGTACGGACACAGAAATGATGTGCCTTTCTACCCTGAGGCTGCAAGGCAGGGAACACTCATAAAGAGAGCCTGCTGGATCAGGCCAATGGCCCGTCTTGTGCAGCATCTTGTTCTGACAGTGGTCAACCAGAGGCCCATGGGAGTTGCAAGTAGGACTTGCAACCTATCCTGTACTGTGCAGAGGAGGGTGACCAAGACAATCAAGGGTCTGGAAACCAAGCCTGATGAGGAACAGTTGAGGGAGTTGGGTATGTTTAGCCTGGGAAAGAAGAGACTGGGAAGAGATATGATAGCCACCTTCAAATATCTCAAGGGCTGTCGCATGGAGGATGGAGCAAGATTGTTTTCTCCTGCTCCGGAAGGTAGGACCTGAACCAATGGCTTCCAGTTACAAGAAAGGAGATTCCAACTTAACTTTCTGACAGTAAGAGCTGCTCAACAGTGGAATGGACTCCCTTGGAAGGTTGTGGGCTCCCCTTTGTTTTTTAAGCAGAGGATGGATAGTCATCTGTCAGAGCTGTGATCCTTGCATTGCAGTGGGTTGGGCCAGATATCCCTCAGGGTCCCTTCCAATTAAACAATTCTGTGGTACTACATGTGGCATCAGGGGAAGGCCAGGTAGAGATACGACTTCCAATGCACAATCTGCAGCCTTAAAGTGCACTCCCGATTATGCCTTGCAAGGGAGGCCTGCCATCATCAACTGTCAGTTGATTGACACTCACTTCATGCCCACTGGGATGGGCTGAGTTGGAGTACAGTGGATGCTTGGGTTGTGATTCGGCGCTTCTGTGCATGCAGAAAGCGCAATTTAGCTCTTCTGCACATGCACAACCACCAAAACCCGGAAGTAACCCATTCCGGTACTTCCGGGTTTCGGCAGTCCATAACCCGAAAAAACACAACCTGAAGCGTCTGTAACCTGAGGTATAACTGTACTCCATAGCCAGCCAATCCCAGCAGAAAGCAGAGCTTGAACTTGGCACCTGTCAGCTGGTCAACACTAACTCCAAGCCCAGCTTGACTGGACCTGGCTCTTCCTTTGTGGCCCAACTTGCCCTTCACCAAAGAAAAAATGGGTCCCCTGATGCCATAGTGACCTTAGGTCAAAATGGCTTTGCTGGGGAAAGGGCAGGATCTCGCCCACTGGCTGGATCCAGTCCCCACCCCCGGTACATAGGATTATGATGAGCAGGTAATCACAAGGGTGAGAGTAGAGAAAGGACAGTGTAAGATTGCTTGTGCAAGTCCTTCTCCGCCCAACCTAAATGCCAGTTTGTACACTGCGGATGGGAGATTTTCCTTCTTCTCTGTTGGCCAAACCCCAGAGCCATGGACACAGCACAATCAAAATGTCTGTCTGCTTTGGAGAGAAATACATAACACCACATTTTGGCACCAAGCAAAGCTGCTGACTGTGCACCAAAACCCCGCCTCCATCCGCTCAGAACCCTCAATTCAGTCCTCTGTTTTCCAGATCATTTTCAAAGCAATTTCTCCATGCATGCGTAGGGACATTTCTGCTAGCCTCTCTCAGGGAGCAAAGGTTTTAAAAGTGGGTTGGTGGCGCTACAGGGAGGGGTGCCTCAGGGCCGGCGTTCGACAAGCTGTGCTGGCCCTAGGTGCGACAGCTGCTGTGCCATCCCAGCTGCCCCCTTAATGCCACCTCCTGTGCCAGCAGCGGAGGCCGGCTGTGTCCTTGTAGGAGCTCAGCCGAATGCAAGGCCAGGAGCTGAGTCACCCAAAGGATCCGGGAACCAGGGGGAAAGAGGCCGGCGAGAGGGAACGATTAGCTCCCTCTCACCCGCTGCCCCTCTCCATTCACCCTGAGAGCTCTGCCCTTCGAGGGCCTGGCAGAGCAGAGTAATCATCCCAAACAACAGAGCGGTCGTCTTCCTGCCCGCAAAGTCCCGACTTTGGGAACAAAAGGACTGTCACATGACATGACTGTCACCCAAGCGCCTGGCCTGCCTTCGGGGCTGAGCTGTTCACTTTCTGACAGCCAGGGAGAGACAGGCATGGGGTAGGATAAACAGTGACAGATAAGATTGCTGCCAGAGCAACTCAGCTCCACTGTCCTGCCTTTGAAAGAGCTCGTGTTTTCTAGAGGAGGGTTGACCACAGAACCACCCCTGGGGAAGTTCTTCTCCCTGAATTTGCTCGTCCTTTTGGGAGGCCGCCAGCATGGGCATAATTACCCCTTTGCCATAAGGCCAATATCTCCCTCTGAAGATGGAGGAAACAGCCATGTCGCGAACCTCGGTGTCATCCGGCGAACTCCAATGCACCCTGGAACCAAGGAGGGGTTGCAGGATAGTGCTGGAGGAAGAATCAAGGCTGCTGACGAGTCAGGGCTGCTGCTGCTGATGAATCAAGGAAGCATCTTCTAAGGTGAAACGGACCTCACAATCTCCAGTAAAAAGCCATAGGTCAGGAATAGCTCACAGAGAACATTTTCGCTAATGTACCACTTTTCCTGGGTCGCGTCAAGCCAAGGGCATTCATGTCAGGCCCAGGTCATGTTGGTATGCCAATGGGCCTATGAGGAGTGATGCCAACTCAGACCCATATCACTTCAATTGGATTTGAGCTGGCCAGCTTACAGAGAGGCATGGTGAAACGAACTGGGATGCTCAAAGTTAGTTAGGCCCTGGGCTTTGCTGTGATTTATTCTTAGAATCACAGAAGGGACCCCAAGGGTCATGTAGTCCAGCTCCCTGCAATGCAGGAATCTTTACTAAAGCATCCATGACAGATGGCCATCCAACCTCTGCTTTAAAATCTCCAAGGAAGGAGAGCCCACCACCACTGTCGAATAGCTTTTACTGTCAGAAAGTTCTTCCTGATGTTGAGTCGGAATCTCCTTTCTTGTAACTTGAAGCCATTGGTTCTGGTCCTACCCTCCAGAGCAGGAGAACACAAGCTTGCTCCATCTTCCATGCTACAGCCCTTGAGATATTTGAAGATAGCTATCCTGTCTCCTCTCCTTCCTTGGAACCCATGCTGTCTGGTCTTGTGCTGTGCCTTTGTCATTGACAGTGGAAGAGCCCTGCTGGATGAGACCCAAAGCTCATCTAGTCCAATATTCAGTTTCCCACTGTGGCCATCCAAATGCCTCCTGGAAAGACCACAAGCAAGAGATGAAGACAATAGCGCTCTCCACCACCCTGGTGTCCAGAGTCATGTGCCTCTGATCCTGGTGGTGTTGTGACTAGTGGCCACTGATGGACATCTTCTACCACATGCATCTAGTTCAGGGATTCCTGAACTTGGGTCTCCAGCTGCTATTGGACTACAACGCCCATTATCTCCAGCTCCCAGGACCAGTGGTCGGAGAGGATGGGAGTTGTAGTCCAAAAACAGCTGGAGATCCATGTTTTGGAAATCCTGATCTAATTAATACTACCAGAGAGCCAAGGTGGCCAGTGTTCCTGTTCCTCAGGGACATGGGTGGCTCTGTGGTCTAAACTACTGAGCCTCTTGGGCTTGCTGATCAGAAGGTCAGCAGTTCAAATCTGTGTGACGGGGTGAGCTCCTGTTGCTCTGTCCCAGCTCCTGCCAACCTAGCAGTTCAAAAGTATACCAGTGCAAGTAGATTAAATAGATACCGCTGTGGCAGGAAGGTAAACAGTGTTTCCATGCACTCTGGCTTCCATCACGGTGTTCCGTTGTGCCAGAAGCAGTTTAGTCCTGCTGGCCACATGACTTGGAAAGCTGTCTGTGGCCAAAGCCGGCTCCCTCGGCCTGAAGCGAAATGAGTGCCGCACGCCATAGACGCCTTTGACTGGACTCAACCGTCCAGGGGTCCTTTACCTTTACCTTACTCTATTTCTCACTCATAATAGTTAGATGTTCTTCTCCCTTAGTTTTGCCACAAGCTGCACCTGCTTAGAATCCTGCAAGAATTAAATGCAGAGCAGCCTTCTCCTCCTCTGCATCTGTTGGTCACCTACTTCTGCCTCCATCAGTGGTGAATTGCTGTGTGTCCTTCAGCCACAGCTTGGGCTCTGATTCAATCTGAGCTTCACGGGCGACTCTGAGCTAATTGTAATGGTTGGAGCCTGAAGCTGGGAGTGTCTGCCTATCCCCACCCCTCCTCCTTTCCCCCCCAGGAGGTGACGCACACAGGCAGCTGCAGCCCCAAATTAGCCACCCCTAGGCCCCCATTTAACAACAAGCGTGGCTGCTTTCTGACAAGTAAAATTAACAGATATCCAGCTCAGTCCAGTTGTGTGCTCCAGACTCTTGAGGGTCCCACAAATGACTCATGTTTGCAAAAAGAGATGCGCTCGGGTTGTGTGAGCTGACTCCAATGGGCAGTCTGCACATGTTCCGAGCTGGTGGGGAGAGGGTGGGGCTTGGCTGAGGGATCAATGGCTGCTAGTATTTATAGCTACATACTAACTCCAGGATCAGAGGCAACTCACTTGCACCCCCTGCCTCCTCTGGACACATCAGTCTCTGCCCCTCAAAATCCATTTATTGGCAGGAAATATCAGACTCAGTTGCTGCCCCCTCTCCTCCCCACCAAGACTGAGACCCTAATCTAATAAATAAACAAATCTTTTCTTTGCAATAAGACATGCAAATTAGGTAGCGCCATGCTAACTTTCCTGATTTGCACAATTTACCCAGCTGAGATTGGGGCTTTTTTCAGCTGCGCCTTGGGCCATGTGTAATCTAAAACGCGAACATATTTGAAGGCGATGAATATGTGAAAATCGCTTGGCAAGGTGAACAGGGAGGGTTTCCTCTGAGACTGTTGACAACTTGTCTAAATTAACCTTGGGATAATAATCTCCCTTCTGGGAATTTTCTTGGGAATAGGGTTAGCAGATGGCAACTTGGAGATCCTATCTACTTCCTTAAATATTCAAATGTTCAAGAGGATACAAAGGCAGCTCCTTGCATACCTTCCCTCCCTGGACCTCTTCCAGCCCTTCCTCCCTTCTCCAGCTGCCTGGAGCACATGAGTCTTGCTTATTAAAGCATGGATGGACGAGGAAGGCCAGGTGAGAGGCCCAAGGAGGGAGCAGGTGTGTGAAGCTGCAAGCTGCCTTCTTCCCTCTTTGCACCACAGAATGTAAAGGTATTTGCATGTGATCTGCCCGCCACCTGGCAAGTCGAATGGGTGGATGGAGGAGATGTAAGCCTTTTGGTTTCTGCTGCCACACCATACGGACTCGAACTGTGCTCCGGAATCTTGCATTCGTAATGAATTCATGTTCCTAGAATCATAGAATTGCAGAGTTGGGAGGTACCCCAAAGCCAATCTAGACCAACCCCTTTGCAGTGCAGGAATTACAGCTAAATTATAAGATTGTCATCCAGCCTCTCCAAGAAAGGAGAGTCCACCACCTCCCGAGGGAGTCCGTTTCACCGTCAAACCGCTCTTACCATTAGAATGCTGTTCCTAATGTTTCATCAGAATCTCCTTACTTGAATTTGAATCCTTGGATTGGGTCCTACCCTCCGGAGCAGCAGAAAACAAGCTTGCTCCATCTTCAACATGACAGCCCTTAGGTAGTGATTCTTCCCCACTTTTGCAAACAGGGAAAAATGAACGTGAGAGGTGTCAGCTTGTCATAAATGTTAGGAAGTGTGCAGTTTCCATGTGCCATGATTCCTGCAGTGCAGGGGGTTGGATTTGATGACCCTCATGTTCCCTTCCAATGCGGGTGGCGCTGTGGTCTAAACTACTGAGCCTCAATCCCCATGATGGGGTGAGCTCCTGTTGCTCTGTCCCAGCTCCTGCCAACCTAGCATTTCGAAAGCATACCAGTGCAATTAGATAAATAGGTACCACTGTGGCGAGAAAGGTAAACAGTTTTTCCGTGCGCTCTGGTTTCCATCATGTTCTGTTGTGCCAGAAGTGGTTTAATCATGCTGGCCACATGACCGAGAAGGCTGTCTGTATACAAACGCTGGCTCCCTTGGCCTGAAAGTGAGATGAGTGCCGCAACCCCATAGTCACCTTTGACTGGACTTAACCGTCCAGAGGTCCTTTACCTTTACCTTTTTTACTATGTTCCCTTCCAACTCTACTGTTCTATGGTTCTTTGATATCACCACCCCTTTTTAGGGACTTCTCTTTCACACAGAGTCATGGATGCTCTTCAGAATTTGGCACTCCAATGGTTAACAAGGACAATAAAAAAGATAAATCAAAAGTAAATGTTATTGTATCAAAGGGGAATTAGCATACTTATTAAGGGATACACGGAGCAGATGTTAATTGACACAAGCCCTTCCTAAAACAGCGCTCTTAACAATAGGCTAACGAGTTGCAGCTAATCATACAAGCTGCCAGTTCTAAAAGCATGCCTGAAAACAGCAGAAAAAAATTAGGATGCAGTCAAATTGGTCAGGGAAAAGAGGTAAGGGGGTGGTGGAAGAAGGATGCTGTTTGGAATTAGAAGAACGAGGTTTGGCTCAACGGGTGAAGGTGGAAATGAATGCTGCTTGCTTTAGAAAAAGAGAGCAGGAGGGAGGAAGTTCGATGGGTGGTTTTCTCAGGTCCTGGCAAACGTTTTAAGGCAAGAATGGGAAAGAAAGCAACTGGAAGAGAATAGGCTTGGGAGCAAGGATAGGGGAATCTGAGATTTTTGGATGAAACAGCTGAGAAAGAAGAGGAAAGCACAATGAAGGGAAGAGAGAGAAGGTCATCCCAAGAAAGAGGCGACTGATTGGGCTTGAAAGCAGAAGATGGGAGAAGTGGAGGGAGGGAGAGTTTGACCAGCTGATGGACTTTCCAGAGAGGAAGGGGCAGAGGGAGTTAGTGCCTGTCCTTATTTTGAGGAGGGAAGCTCTTCAACAACAGAAAGTGACAGTGAAGGGAAGATTGGGGCTCATCCACACTTTTGTTTGACATATACTTTTTTCAAAAATATATAATTTCTATTCTGATCTTACCTGCTAAACTGAGGCTTCCTTAAGCAAAAATCTCCGCTCAGATTTTCTACACATCTGATCAGGTCCGATTCAGTAGCTCAGATTGGATTTTCTCAAGGCACAGACATGAAACAACAACAAAAGCTTTTGGACCCAGGGAATTAATTGGTACACTATATGATCAAAATTATGGGTCAAGCAGAAGTGTGGATGAGCCGCGAGAAAAGTGTGTGTGTGAGGTGGGGGAGAGGGTCGATAGAAGAATTCTTGTGCAGAGGAATGTGGCTTCTTGGGGATCCGAAAGATTCCTCGTTGCTAAGGTGAAAAGAATCGCAAAGAATCTCAAGTGGTGCTTAAAATTAAGTGGCATTCCACTAAATTTTATTCAAAGTACACCCATTGAAATTAATGAGCATGACTAAGTATGGTCCATTCATTTCACAAGATCTGCTCCAAGGAAAAAAAATTACTCAAAGGCCACCCAAAAGCTACAAAAACTGCCTTTCCTGGCTCTCAGGGTCCGGAAAGGTGTGATAATAAGAGGTGTGAATCTGATAATAAACTGCCCTAAAATACCCAGTGATCATGCCTCTTCCTCATGTACCCAGAAGTTAAATATATATATATATATTCGGCTGGAGCAATGCTTCTGGATAAATTCCAGGTGGGAAACTTAAGGCCTGATTTCTCAGCTTAGTAGGTTTTCCAGAGGGGCCCAGTACACCAGGGATTAAGAGAGGCAGTGTGGTGCAGTGGTCCGAGTGTCCGACTAGGGCCCAGGAGACCAGAGTTCAAATCCTTACTCTGCCATGAAGCTGCCAAATCTTCCTTTTTTTGCCAAAGGCTCCCATGCCTTTAAGAGATGCACAAAAGGGAAAGAACCAACAGGTGATGCTCTATATTTGCAGTTCTGTAAGATTAGAAAGCTGCAATGCTTAAGGGCACCTCCCTCCAGAAAGAAGTTGGCAGCAGTGCCTGGAACGTAGTGGGTTTGGTTGTGGAACATATTCCTAATGTCATTGAGCCTTTTGACAGCTGTTTGGTAGCCTAAGATTCATTGAATCCTACTAGTAATAGTAATAATTTATTATTATGGTCAGAGACCAGTTCAAGAAGCACAACTGAGACTGCTTTCACAAGAATGAAATAGACATTTAAAACAATATACAATAACAGCTTATAGATTAAAATTAAAATACAGTGGTACCTCAGATTAAGAACTTAATTCATTCTGGAGGTCCGTTCTCAACCTGAAACTGTTCTTAACTTGAAGCACCACTTTAGGTAATGGGGCCTCCTGCTGCCGCTGCACCACCGGAGCACAATTTCTGTTCTCATCCTGAAGCAAAGTTCTTAACCCAAGGTACTATTTCTGGGTTAGTGGAGTCTATAACCTGAAGCGTCTGTAACCTGAAGTGTCTGTAACCCAAGGTACCACTGTAGCTGTATGAACACAAAAGGACCTAAGGTTAAACCACCATGCAAATTGCCCCTGGGACGCCCAGGGGGCTGGCTATGGCAGTTTTCCTAGCGATCTATTTGTTCCAGGGGTTTTTCTACACCTACAAATCTGCACGCAGAATCTAGCGACCATCCGGACCATCTTGTGATTTTTGCCTAAAAGGAGAAAATTTAGTTTAGGCTTGTCTGGAAGGTCAGCAAGCCTCACCAGATGGGGGTCGATGGTATCTCTACATGCCTCATCGTAAAAAGGACATCTAAAAAACAAGTGTTCAGGGTTTCCTATTTCCCCTAATGGGTAGGCACAAAGTCTCTGAGCATACGGGACTTTTCCAAAAGATCCTTCAGAACCGGCGAGGGCAGAGCCGAACTTCTGGCAAGAGTAAAGGCCCTTCTTGCATTTCTGGATACGAGGAAATGGAGGTATGCTGCCGGGACAGCAACATATCTCTTGTGTTCTGCAATTATTGAACCATAGAATAACTCACAGCAAATTCAAGAGGGGCATTTTATCCCACTCATCACTGTATCCCTATGACTGGGAGAACCTCGAATTTCTGCCTGTCATGCACAGCAGTCCCTCTTGCCAAGGATGTTTTGTGGAATACGCTGTTACCCTCAGGCTCTGTCTCTTTTCCCCTGACTGACATCTCACCCTCCTTCCTAGGTGTGGCCGAACAATTTGCCATTGCCGAAGCCAAGCTGAGGGCCTGGTCTTCGGTGGATGGCGATGATTCCAACGACGAGTCCTATGATGAAGATTTTGCCACTTCCACCGACACAACACAACCAGCTGGTGAGTGGGGGTGTGTGTGTCATAGCCAGTTGCACCCAGCAGGGCGTGAAATCCACATGGCAGAGTCCCTTACAGACACTCCACACCCCCCCCTATTTCAAGGTGGGGAGGGAGGAGCGCATATCACATCCCCCTCAACTGTCCTGATAAAACCGAGATGTCCTGTTTCTTCGTGTGAGAGCATGGCAGCCATTTTGGGCACCGTGCTCGCATATGGCCTTGCACCAAAAAAACCCATTTTTTTTCTAGAGACCCAAAATGTTCATTTTTAGGCGGTGGCCCCAGAAAAAAACACCTCTTTTGGGGTCATGATCTCATGTGGGTCACACGACTCACCCCAGAAGATAGCACCCCGATTTTTCACCACAACATGTCAGAGGGCATGACATCAGGGACATGCAGCGTGAAACCTATGGCCCTCTAGATGCTGCTGGACTTCAGCTCCCATCATTCCTGACTGCTGGCCATGCTGGCTGTGGCTGATGGGAGTTGGAGTCCAACAACTTCTGGATCCCAATCCCTGGGGTGGTTGTTGCCCATGGGAGCTGGTAGGGCAGAAGGCAGGGAGCACAACCGTTGGTGGATCCCAAACTGATGATGGTGGAGGCAACCATTTCTTCATTCTCCTCCCTGCTGCTGAGTTGTACAAGGGCAACCCTGAGACTGAGGGGGAGGCAGGGCCATCTTAAGCACATCCAGCACCCCTTCCCTTTCCCAGAATTTAGAACTCGGAGCCCAACTCGCGGACCACCTCGTAGACCTGGGAGCCGCCACCCACAGAAGACGCTGCCAATGTGGTGGATGCTGCACGGCTGGCCAGACCGCCAGAACCCCACTCTCGCTTGGAAGACTCCGGAGCGCTCCTCCTCCTCCTCCGCTGCCTGACAATGACAGCCCACTGCCGGCACTCTCGCTGCTGCCCAGCGGCCTGAGGGCCCAAGGAGCAGGAGGCAGTTGCCACGCCGTTGCCTGTGCCTCAGGGAGTGGGGGAACGGTGGGCACCAGTGACACGGAGGAGGCCCCTTGGGAGCCACTCCTGCCACTGCCGCTGCTTCCTCAGACGACAATGACAGCGGCTCTGTGGGCAGTGGCTGAGGGGATTCCCGCGGTCGAGGGAGAGGAGGTGCTGGCAGAGGAGGAGGTGGCAGAGTCAAGGAGTGGCTCCTCATCCGAAGCAGCCCGTGCCTCTGTCACCAAGTGCTTGTGAGAGCAGCACAGGCAGCATCAGCAGTGCCAATGTGCCCGCCCACAGAGGGGGGTGGGCCGAGGAGGGTAGGAAGGAAAGATGGTTAGTGGGGCGCAGCTGGCAGTGTGCAGGGAAAGGAGAGGCCGCTGGCAAAGCCGCACAGCTCCCCCACTTGCTAGGGCGCCCCTGAGAGGCCGTTGTCCTGGTGCAACGAGCCACTAAGCCCTATGGGAAAGATGGCTCTGGGAGGAGGGGGCAGGCAGGCTGGGACACCCTCTGGACTAGCTCTAAGTAAGAAGGCAGGAAGATGGGGGCTGGCTGAGGGCAGACGGAGATTACTAGGGCAGCATCCTATTTGCCCTAATGCACCAACTGCTGCCTGGTGTGCATGTTGACATGTGGTGCCACACCTTGAATGCTGAGTCAGATCTCCCAGGAAAGTCCCAAATGGCGCAAGCAAAGTAGTTTCTGCCACAACTTGTCTCTCAGCTCTGGCACTAGGAAATCAGATGTGTTACTGAACATACAAGCCCCGCGGCCAGCCGTTGTGGCTGATCCCCATGGAAAAGCCTCTCCTGTGGTCTTGGAGCTGCAACCCTCTTCCTCCAGCCTCACCCCTTTAGCACTATCACCTTCCACTTTGGTTAAATCCCTCCTTGGATCAAACAGATATGATGTCTTCTTATTTAATCCAGGAGGAGGGTACCTCTGAGCATTTAAGGAGTACCTTTCCTCTTGTCACAGAGCAAATGCACTTAAAATTAGGGAGCAGGCTTTCCATTCAGTGACAGGAGTTGCAAAAAATGAAGCAAAACCTCCCCACTAGTTAACAGCACTCTGAGGAAACAGCCCCCCAATTTTTATTTTTATTTTACAATTTCCCATAGGCACTCTGTACTCTGTACTGATCTTCCCAACTTATCCTCCATGGATCTACATGCATTGCATTGCATGTGGTGTGATTTTGGGTGTTTGGGGGGGGGGACATTCCACCTCCTGGAATTTGCAGAGCAGCTACACTTTGCCCCATGCAATCCAGCACCTCTCCTAACTCTTAAAATAATCTCATTCCAGTGTCAGGGCAGGTGGAGGGATTGTGGCCATTAGTTAGTGAACTGAAAAGTGAGAAAAGATGGGTTGAACAAGAGGATAAAATTTATTGTGCATCACAGCTAAGGAGCAAATTTAATCAAAAGATACAGGCTGTCACCATGGACAAGAGAGACCCCATTAACGTGGACCTCTGTTTAAGGACTTAGAGAAACCACATGGGAATATGGGGTTAAAGAAAAAAAAGTCTACTGCACCTCTTCAACATCAGGATAAAGGGAGGGAAGGAAGAAGATGAAGGAAAGAGGGTGGTTTGGAAGTCACCATCCAACATTTGGGTAAAAAAATATATTTCACTATTGAAAGGACCCTGGAAAGGCTAACAAAGGAAGGCAAGTGTGATCAGATGCTCTCAGGAGAACTGGAATCTTTTCTTTCCCTTCATTTATTTGGAAACACAACCTGAATTCAATGTAACTGAGATGAAAACCTTCAACATAATAGCAGTCTGAAAGAACCAAACTCCTTGTGATCTTCCACAAATCTGAGGTCAGGCAGCCTCTTCCATTCTTCCAAGGAAGACATGCACACCCACTCCCATGTCATCCAAAGCTGTGGTTCCCAATTAGCTAAGTACTGCAGACACCTGTTTTTTCAAAAGCCAAGCCACGGACCCCCTACTTTTGAACATCTTGATAACTCGATGGTAGTTTTTGTTATGTGAATGGTGCCCTTGGAGTCCCCACCAGTTGGGAACCACTGCATTAAAGAATGACTTTCAGATGGCCCAACTGCGATTCTGCAATCAGTTCTTGAGCTATTACAATAGTAAGGAAATGGGATTTTTGGGTTTAGCAGGATCACTTGGGTGCCACTTGAACTCACCTGCAAGATTGTGCCGATACTGGGGCACTAGAAGACCAAACTCAAGGTCTTGGAAAATGGTGCTGGGAGGTGCTTCATTTTGTTACATCTTCTAGCAACATTTTCTTCTGCCTTCAACCTGATGCAGAAGCCTAGGCAGGAAATCAACGTGCCCCAAACGTCCCATGTCTGGCCTTGCAAGCGGGTGAACCAAAGTCTTCTGTCTCCAAGTGAGGGAGGTTCATAATTAGGTGTAGCAGATAGAAATGGCAGTCTGTAAGAGCTCCCTTCTTGCAAAAATGGCAGCCCCAACAGAGGGGGGTCCGCAAACATAGCAGGATGATTCTTGTGCCTAAGGTACAGCTGGAGGATGTTTTCAAAAGTAATGACTTTTGGGTGTTTTTAACTGTTACGTTTGTTTTTAGAATGTTGCTATAGAATTCATTTTGCTTAAGTTGTGTGTCTGTTTGTCGCTCTGGGCTCCTTTGGGAAGAAAGACAGGATATACAGTAAAAGTAAAATGTAATAACTATGAAGCAGCAGCCACTGAATTGCTCAGATATGTGAACGTCCCAGTTGGCGTGCTCTGGGCTGTGCCAGCCTCAGCCACCGTGTCTCCATTTGAACACTGGCTAAGATTGAAAGACAAAATTGCCTTTGCAGAAAGGGGGTATATGAGCATCGCTCTCTGTCCCCATATATCGTCTGTTTGGCTACTGGCCTTCCTCACCTACTGTTTCCTGCTTACCCCTTGGCATGGTGCCACGGGTCGCAGGGCCTTCTGCGCCCACGGAGAGCCCGCCAGCTGGCACCCGTGTGTTGGCAGAGTGTGTAATCTGCGTCCTTCTTGCGCAGACAAAAGCTCCCTTTTTCCTACAATTAACTGCCGACGAATCGGGCGCTATTTGCATATCAAAGAAAGTCAGCGGTAATCTGCGGTGCGGCATCTAAAGAAAGTTCTAATTACTCCTCTGTATAATTAGAATGAGTGGGCAATGGAGAGGAGGAGGAGGAGGAGGCATAGATGGAAAAGTTACCTCTCTCCGGTTGCAGGAATGAACGTCACAGGGGTAGCCAAGGCAGAGAGCCACCTGCTCTCCCACGATGGGGAGGGCTACTGTAAGCCCTGCTAAAGTGTATGTGTGTGTTTTTAATGGTGCTGTGGGTTAAACCACAGAGCCTAGGACTTGCTGATCAGTAGGTCGGCGGTTCAAATCCCCGCGACGGGGTGAGCTGCCGTTGCTCGGTCCCTGCTCCTGCCAACCTAGCAGTTCGAAAGCACGTCAAAGTGCAAGTAGATAAATAGATACCGCTCTGGCAGGAAGGTAAACAACATTTCCGTGCGCTGCTCTGGTTTGCCATAAGCGGCTTAGTCATGCTGGCCTCATGACCCGGAAGCTGACTGCGGACAAATGTTAGCTCCCTTGGCCTATAGAGCGAGATGAGCGCCGCAACCCCAGAGTCGGCCACGACTGGACCTGAAGGTCAGGGGTCCCTTTACCGTTAGCTAGCTTGCTGCAAATTTTGGGAAACTGAACGGGCTCAAAAAAATTTCAGGGTGAACTGTCTCCCCCAAATTCACATTGATGATATGGGGCAGAGCTGCACCATTTGTGTTGGGATATGATTAGATGCTAGGAGACGATATTGTTAGTTATTATCCTTCCCTCCTCATGTTTGTGAGTTCAGCAGAGTGCCACCCCTTTGCAGCTTAAAAGGGAAGCTTAGATAGGCTAGTTTTAGCCTTTTAGTTTTAATAATCCAGGATGCTTTAAGACAGACTGGATTTTCCTGGTATTTCCTCCTTTCCTCCCCCTTAAAACTATAATCACTCACAAACAGCCTTGAAAAAGGTAACAATAACATTCAATCACCAGCAATACATTTTAAAGAGTAACAGACACAGCAGCTTCGTTCAGGCAGGCTGAAAATAGTGATTGAGTTACTAAGGCAAACTTAAATCTAGCTTAAAAATGGAGTCTGAGCTGGAGCTCAGACTTGCAGACGTTCTCACATTGTAGGCATGTTGGAGCTGAGTTGGGAAGACAGTTCAGGCAGGGAAAAGCATAAACAGCTACACCTTCTTCCTGCCAGGGCACAAAGGGAAGCGTTCTCACTAAGTTCTCTCTAGCAATTTTACAGAAAAGGCCAGGCATCTTCACTTGGCCTCAAGTGGCTGATAACCAGGTGCAAAACGCGCCTGGCGCCTGGCTAATTTCGAACACCGCTTTGGACCTCGGGGCCCGTCCCCCGTGTCCCTTGAATGCTGCGCTGCTCACGCCCTCCCCTTGCTGTGTTGCAGATGCCGCGAGCCAGCTGCCCCCCAGCACCCTGCTGAAGGGCTTCCTGCACAGCCGCTTGTGCCAGCTGAATGCCCGCCAAGGCTCCTGCGACCCAGAGAGCGACTCCTCCCAGACCACCATCTCTCCGGAGACCTTGTGCTCCAGCCTCTGCAGCCTGGAGGACAGCCTCCTCCTCAAGGAGCTGGGCTCGCCCTCAGAACTGGCCGCCAAGCTGCTGGGCTCCATGTCGGGCGAGGAGGAGCTCCTCCTCTCCAAGTTGCCCCCACAGACAGCCGGGGAATGTGCCTTCCGGAGCCTAGCACAGCTCGAGTGCCTGGACTCCATGTACTCCATGTCCTTCACCGAGTCCTGCCTCTCGCCCACCGAAGACGAGGACATCCCCTGCAAGGACTACAAGGGTCACGAGGACAGCTGCCAGGTCCGGAGGAAAGTGTCCGATGTGGCCTCTTCAGGCGTGGTCTCCCTGGACGACAACGAAGAGGAGGAGGAAGAGCAAGAGGAAGACACCGGCGAGCAGTGAGACCCGCTCTCGCCGCGGCATGCTTCACCTGCCATTTTTCTGTCCTGCTCCGTGGCATCCGCCCTCGACCGTGCTCCGTGGCCCGCCTGTCGTCCTGGAGCAGGGGCTCCCCCTTCCTTCACCGGGTGGCGGCCTGGCTGTCCGCAGGGCAGGGGGAGGCGGGGTGGTAAGCTGACCAGCGCCCCCCTGCCCTGCCCTGCCCTCCTGCCTTCACCTCCACTGTGCCATCTGATCCAACCATTGAAGCCTGAGGGGGGGCCTCTCCCACGCGTGGCTCCGTGGATTTTGCCTGCTGCATTTTCTCTCTCTCTCTCTCGTGGTCTGTTTCGTTTTCTTTGCATGTCTTGAGGGTGGGGGTGGGGGTGGGGGAAGAATCAAGCAAAGCGACAGAACAAAAGCAACAGCGGGGCAACGACAGCTGGGCAAACCCCCACGCCCGCCCGCCCGCCCCAAATCTAGGGCCTGTTGGGAGCATGCTGTGCTCTCCCCGACCTCAGTGCCCCCACCCAGGGTTGGTGCGGGGGGGGGGGAGAGAAGAGGCCCGTCTCATGCTGTCCAAGTGGCATGGCTAAACTGTGATGACGACGACCCTTAAGACAATTTAACTAATATATATATCTATAAATATATATGTATATCTCCGCGCCTGACCCCTTCCCCTTCCAACTTCTCCGGCTCGAGGTTGAAGGGCTGAAACAGAATGTGGAATGCAATGGATGCTTGATTTGTTATGCCTTTTTTATATAAAAAGAAAAAAAAGAAAAAAAATCCACACTGGCCCAAATGGACACTTCTCGGCTTTTACTGTCTTGAATTTTATACTATGGACCCGCCAGGGAAAAGAAGGGTTAAGGAGGGAGCAGGGTATTACGAGGTGGGGGGGGGAGGGCAGGGCTTGCTATGCGCTCCTCTTCCCCCTACTCCCTTCCTTGGGAAGAAGCCGGGAGCATGGCAGGGCGTCGGTGGGAGCAGCCAGTCCTCCCACCCCAGATCTTTTCTATATTTTTGTATGTGTGTGTGCGTGTGTGTCTGTGTTGCTGTCATCCTCGCGGGCATTGCTCTTCCTCCTGTGGACGGGTTTTCTAAGGGGTCCGCCGCTCCCTCCACGCTTCCATCCTGGACAGCCCGGGGTGGGAAAATACTGTGATCCTCATCCCACCTCTCCTCTGCACCTTAGCAGTTCACCCCACTGCACAAGACCCCGTGAGGAAGGGATCCGCCTCCCCCAGCCCCCAGCTCTAAGCAGCTCCAAATGTGAGGGGGATCCTTACCCTCCAGCAGAGCTCTAAGGTGGTGCCAGGGGGTTAAAATGACTTCAGGTCCACTCATGCCTTGGCTAACTGTGGATTAGGGAACCTTTCATGCTCCCTTTAATTCCCCATTGTCCATGCGGCCGACTACTGCTGTTCCATCCTTTCTCACTCCTAAGCAAAGTTTCCTTGCGCTTAGAAAATCCAAACAGGACGGCTGCATCAGTTGCACAAGGACTCTCCAGATTTATTTTATTATTTATTCCAATTTATAATGCTCTTCACCCAAAGATACAGTATAAGGACACAAAACACGTAACAAAAAAAATAATATCAAAATAATAAATAACACCCACCCCTCTGCAGACACATTTAAAAGGCAATGGGTTGTTTAATTAGCCAAAGGTCTGGTTCTTAAAGGCATGTAATGAAGGCGCCAGTCAAGCCTCCCTGGGGAGAGCATTCCACAAATGGGGAGCCACTGCAGAAAAGGCCCTGTTCTTGTGTTGCCACCCTCTGGGCCTCTTGTGGAGGAGGCACATGAAGAAGAGCCTCGGATGATGATCTCAGGGTCTGGATCAGTTCATGTGGGGAGAGGCGGTCCTTGAGGTATTGCAGTCCTGAGCCCTTTAAGGCTTTATAGGTCAAGACCAGCACTTTGAATCGGGCCTGGAAAGTAATTAGCGGTAAGCACAGTTTGGGCGAGGATAGGTGTAATACGCTTGAACTGTTTCCCCCCGCTGAGCAACCTGGCTGCTGATTTCTGCACCAGCCGTAGAATTAGGGATGAGAAAGTGTGGGGCAGCAATAGTTGTGCGGAGAACGCCACATGGACAAGGGGGAGTTAAAGGAGGCACAAGGCATTCAACAACCACCAGGGTATGGACAGGCCTAAATCTGTATGGTGGGTTAATTAGGCATACAGGCCAGGTTTATCTAGTCTCCAAACTTCTGCCAGTTTTATGCCAGCTCAACTGTTATGGCTGCTTCAGAAGGATCCCCCAGGGACTTTGGTTTGGTCAGAGCCCTGAGGGTTCTGTTAAAGATCCTTAGCACCTCCTCGCACAACTACTGTAGCAAAGTTCCCTGGGGAGGAGTGCTACGAAAAAGCAGTGTTAAGTCTGCAGCGCGTACCTATATGCCCAGAAAAAAAGAGACACACAGATGCAAGCCTGCGTATCCCCTTGGCGTGCATCGCTCCATAAATCCTGCCACCTGCATGCACACAGGTGTACTGTAGCACAAGTCTGCTCCCTGCCCCCCCCCACATGCACATGCAGAAGAGACACACACACACCTCTTTTAAAGCAGTTAAAAAGCATAACCCCTTTCCCACCCAGCAATAATTCTGGGAATTGTAATTCTTAGGGTTGCCAGTGTTTTAAGGCTGCTCCTTCTCCTAGGTCTGTGATATCAGCCTGACCCACAGAAATGTTGCAGGCGAAGCTTCATTCACTGTCCGCCACTGTTTCTCTATGCTAAATTGCTTATCCCCTGATAAATTTCAGTGGGTCAGGCAGTTGGTAAAGGCCCCAGGATCAGTAATAAAAGTTGGCAACCCTAATTCTGACAGGTGGCTGGTTCGCTTTAACAAAGATGTTTCAGCAACCCCAGTAGCTATGCTTCCATACACACTTTAGGGGTGAAGCCCTGCTGACTAGTTTTAAACCATTTTGCCTGTAGCTCTTTGCCCCCATTTTAATCCCAGCTTTCTACTTGTTTCCTCAGTGCAGATGATCAACTCTAATGGATGTGAGGGCTCCCCCTGGTTTCCTCTAGAGGGAGCAGAACCTCCATGTTCAGAGGCAGTATACCTCTGGTGTAATCCACAGGGCTCATATGGGCTCATCTGATGCAGCATTCACGCAAGCTCTCCCCCCCCCCCCAATCCCATGACTCTGCAGATTTCATTCTTTGGCACAACTCTTCAAGGCACAGGAGCCCTGCCATCCATTGCACTTGGTCACCCTGTGTTCAGCATGACCATTGAGAAATATCCCTGAAGAATGCACATCAGGAGAGAAGTGCGGTAAATGCGAACACATGCCCCAAAGCACTTGCGCGCGTGCACACACACACACACACACACACACACACAGATGCATGAATACAGACCCCAACTCAAGACAATCAGGTCCATCCCTCCTGGTTTGGCTGCCTCTCCTATTTTTTGTTTTTAACCAGGTAATCCACAGAGAGCAGGTTGGGGAGCAGTGAAGTGGGACTTCTGAGAGATGCTTCTGTTTGGTGTGTGGAACGGGGAGCAGGGAAAGAACCAAGTTCCTAATATCTCTCATGATCTGGAGGTGAGGGTAGGGGAAAATGGTTTGCAGGGCCACTGGCTTCGCTGGGTATCTCCGAACCCTGCAGCCTCCAGACCTTGCTGCTCCTCCTTGCTTTCACCATCTACTCACCTGCTTAGAGCGAGGAAAGAGCAGCATCTTCTGCTTGCCTTGTGCTCTCCACTCTGGGTGGTTGCACTAGTTGGGCTCGGAGGGAGATGGCAAAATGACGGGCAGCAGGAGCAAGACATGAGGTGGGCAGGCTCCAAAGTCTGGAGATGAGTGGTTACTGCTAAATGCAGAAATGTGTATGTGTGTGTCCCAGCAGGGTCCCACGCAGGCCCTGGTCTCTGTTCTGCCCCAGGCTTCTCTGTGTTCGTTGGCACCTTCTATGGAAAGTGCAATTTCACAGACAGCTGGCCATCTTTTAGGAGAAGCGAGGCCTTTGGAAAAAGTAGCTCATTCCTAAAAATTTAAGGGAGCTGCTCTGTGGCAAGGGATGGACCAAGGGATGGACAGAGACCAGGGCATCTCTCACCAGCTATGTGCCATCTTGACTGGAGAGGACAGGTTTGCTGAAGGTGTGATGACGGTCAGGTACCGCAATGGTCCCTTGTAGCTATTTTGAGGCAGCTCTGGCACAGCCTACAAGGATGACAGTGAAAGATGAGGGACGAAGGGCTGAAGGACTGTTCAGGTGATGTGGAGGGGAGGGGAGAGGGAGGAAGAAAAGCAGGTTCAGTTCAAGGAGATCCCTTCCAGTCAAGGATGCTTGAGTAGTTATCATGGCTTCCTCCCCTCGCCACAACTTTGTGCAAACCCAGTCCAAAGTCGGTGGACCACCCTGCCCCACAACTAGCCTCTGGGCAGCCCTCCCCTTCCTGCCACCCCCCTTGATGCACCTGCAGAGCTGTGCCCCAAAGCCTATGCACCCCTCCCCCACTTTCCCCCATCCTCTCCAGCCCTTGCTCTAGGCTCCCTGCCCCCAAATGCACAATATTGTTTCCGTGTGTCCCTGTTTCTGCCCTGCCCTGCTCCCGATGTATGCCCCTGGCTGGTACGAGTGTCTGTTTTCGTTCTGTTTGTATCTGTAATTCATTAAAAGGCTGGTTCTACCTGACTGTGTCTCTCCATGTGTGTGTGTCTTTCTCTGTCTCTGTGGACTGGCCCTACTAACTTCGCTCACTGCATCCTCCCACAAGTAGGATTGGGAGGGTGGTTTGCAAACGTTCCGCCTCTGGAGTCCTTTTCCCAGAGGGTTCTTGGATGGACAAGCAGAAGGCCTCCTCCTCATTCCCAGACTGAGAGCATAACCTAGAAAAACACAGGGCAAGCTATCATTCAGGGGAGCCAATCTGCCACCAGTGAGCTTCTCACTGAGGGATCCCTGTTGGGTTTCCAAGAAGTCGCAAGGTCATCCAGAAGGAATCATTCCCACTACGTTCAAGGTTTGAGTGCTGCTGATTCAGTGACATAACGTGGGTTGCCATGGCCCGGGGCTGCACAGAAGGGAGGGAAATGGACAGAGTATGCATGCACATCCAGTGGTATCTGTGCCACCCAGGAGACTGTGGCCACAGAGACCAGAAGAGTCTGGAGAGGTCACTTCATGGTTCGCATGGAGAAGCCATTTGCAATGGAAGTGTGCAGATACACAGAGGCAGCACCAGGTGTTGAAATTTTGCACCCCTAACAATTTTGTGCCCAGGGCCACCCCACGCAACACCACTGTGTTGATTATTTCATTTTTGTTTGATTTATTACATTTCCACCCTACCTTTCCTCTAAGGAGCTCATAGTGGCAGGCATGGTTTACCCTGCTCTCCATTTTACCCTCACAACAACCCTGTAAGGGTTAGGCTGAGAGATGGAGACTGGCCCAAGGTCACCGAGTGAGCTTCATGGCTGAGTGAGGATTTTGACTCTAGTCTCTTAGGTCCTAGCCTGAAACTCTAACCACTATGCTGCACTGCCTCTCATGTGCAGCTACAAGGTAATCACCCACTCCCAAGAGGTATGCGTTGGTAGGGGCTGGGGGAATCTCAAGCTTTTCAGAAGTATAAAAAAGCCGTAAGGGGGGAAAGAACCCCAGAAGCTTTCAAATAAGGACCAAAATCCCTGTGTGTGTTAGAGAACAGAATGGCATGACTGGACTCCTGAACACGCTGCAAGGTTTTGTTGCAGTTCCACCACCCCAGACTACCGCAGTCTAATCTTTACCAGCTTTCCACACCATCTCTTCTGCAAGATCAGCAGATCTCAGCATATCCCCAGGGAACTGATCAATATGAACAACTGGCTGTGTTCCCACGAGATCTTGCTTATAAACTCAGTGTCTTCTTTTGTAATCACCACAATCTTCACTTAGTTCAAGAAATGGAGACCTCAACCCAGAGGTTAGATTTCTGTAGGTTAGATTTTTCTCCTAGGGGAGTTCTCGCTGCTGAAAAATTCTGCTGCCCTTTACTGCAGTTTTGCAAAATCCATTTTGAGATGAGATGACCAGGGGTGGGCACAGGGACCCACGTGCGGTCACCCAGAGACTGTGGTCACAATGACTGCCTTCAATCTTTGACTTGCTCCCATTCTCATCCGAAGATCTCTAGATGGTTTACCTGGGTCTCCTCCTGCCCTTTGGATTCTTACAACAACCCTGTCAAGTAGGTCAGGCCGGGAGTTGGAGGCTGGCCCAAGAAGAGCTGTTGCTCACCAGGCATCCTAGGAGGTGGTGTGGAACAACCACAACATCATGTGATGGCAATAGCCAAGCCACCATCTGCCAGCCTCTCCTTCTCTCCAAACCTGCAATACAGGAATAATAAAGCACTAGCCTACCTTTTAAGGCTGTTGTGTGCAGTGGCGTAGCGTGGGGGGTGCAGGGGGGGCCGGCCGCACCGGGCGCAACATCTGGGGGGGGGGGCGCGCTCACACTCGCAGCTCTCTCCCCCCTACCTGGCTCACTCAGGGTTAGGGGGCGCAAATTACTTGCCTTGCCCCGGGTGCTGACAACCCACGCTACGCCACTGGTTGTGTGAGGTCGTGCATAAAGCTCTTTGAGCCCCAATGCTTAATATGGGCATCAGCATCCTGCTTCGTTCATAGGAAGCTGAGCCAGGCTACAGGTCCATCTATCCTAGTATTGTCTACCCTGGCTGGCAGCAGCTCCCTTTAGGGCTGTCTCTTAGCCCTGCCAAGGAATGCTGGGGTTTGAACCTGGGACTTTGGCCCTGCAGACCTGAAGGAGTGTCTCCACCCTCATCGTGCAGCCCAGACCCTGAGATCCAGCTCTGAGGGCCTTCTAGCGGTTCCCTAATTGCGAGAAGTGGGGTTACAGGGAACTAGGCAGAGGGCCTTCTCAGTAGTGGCACCTGCCTGTGGAACGCCCTCCCATCAGATGTCAAGGAAACAAACCACTATCAGACTTTTAGAAGACATCTGAAGGCAGCCCTGTATAGGGAAGCTTTTAATGTTTGATGTTTTACTGTGCTCCATGTTTTAAATTTGTTGGAAGCTGCCCAGAGTGGCTGGGGCAATTCAGTCAGATGGCCGGCATATGAATAAAATAATAATAATAATAATAATAATAATAATAATAATAATAATAATAATAATAATAATACTGAGCTATGGCCCTTTCCCATAAAATAGGTCCTCTGCTGGACACCGCTCCCATTCCAACCATTGTCTGATGTGGCACATATATATATATATATATATATATGCAGGTTTTGGTGTCTTCGGGTGTCTTCCCGTGTAAGAGTTGGGGTGTCTAGGCGACGTTTCGACGAGGTCTCACTCGTCATCTTCAGGCTGGTGCTTTCGGCTTCTTGTTACTGGAACAGAGCTCTGTTCCAGTAACAAGAAGCCGAAAGCACCAGCCTGAAGATGACGAGTGAGACCTCGTCGAAACGTCGCCTAGACACCCCAACTCTTACACGGGAAGACACCCGAAGACACCAAAACCTGCATTCCTGTACCCGTGAAAATCTACGAAAGCATATATATATATATATATATATATATATATATATATATATATATATATAGTCTCCCAGGTAGCCGAGCAGCAAAATTGAGGTTCGGAGAGGGTGGGGGTGGGCTTCACCCTGCCCCATTGTTCTCATCACCTCTCACTCCCTGCCGCTGAGAATGCAGCCTCCTTATCTCACATTCCAGCACGAGGGCACAGCGACTAGGCCAATTATGGACATCTTGGCTCTGCTGGACCAGGACAAAGCCCTCCCCTCCCCCGTCCATGTAGGCACTGCAGACCCCTTAGTCCCACACTGCACCCAGGAGAGAACTGCCGCCACCATCGCCCAAGCCATGTCTTCGGTGAGCTCATCCTCGTCCTCTTCCACCTTCCGCTCAGAGCACATCAGCACCTACAGTCCTGGGAAGCCTCGCTTTGAACCTCTGCTGGACCCTCCCCATGGGATCTTCGGGGCCGGGAGAGCTCGAGAGTCCTACGGGTACTCAGGTGAGTGAGCCCATCTGGGGGCAGCCAGGGGCACTGATCCCACAGGCTCTGAGCTTGAGCAACAGCAGGCAAGAGTCAGGGTTGGCCCAAGGGAGTGCCAGTGCCAGGCAAATAGACTTTTTGAGTCTTTTGGCTGCCTGACCTTAGGTCAGTGGCTGGGTATCTCTGTTCAAAGGCCACATTCTGGGGAGCCTAATCTACGGCTGCTGATGGGACTGCAGCCAAAGCGGGCAAGGCCATCCTTTCTATTTCTCTCTCTGTCAACTCCTTTCTCTCTTTTTTCCTCCCTCCCATCCCTTTCTCTCCATCCCACCCCTCCTCTCTGTCTCTGCCAACCCCTTTCTCTCTCTCTCTCTCTCTCTTTTGCCACATTGCTACCCTTTTTCACTACCCCCCCTCTCTCTTTCTGCCACCCCCCTTCTCCCTTCCTCCTTCTCTCTCTCCTTCTGCCATCCCCTTCTGTCTCTCTGTCTCTGCCTCTCTCTTTCCTCTCTCCTCTCTCTGCACTTCCATCTTTCTCCTGCTGTGCAGGAACAGGTCCTCCTTCCTGCCAGAGCTCTGAAGTGATGGTTTGCTCAGGGCTTTCCCCCTTCCACGTCCCATCACCCCATCCATTTCAGCTTTGCCCCTTCCTATCCCCTCTCCGGCCCTCTTTCTCTCCCTCCAGCCTCTTCTTCACACCCACCCACACCTGTTGTTGCAATGGCCAGACACGTGTTTCAAGGGCCCACGCTCACCCCTCTGCATCTCCTCTGCGTTTGCCTCCCTCCACCCTGCCACAGGCTCACCCCCATCAGCACACCCTTCTGCTCTGGGCAGCAGCAACGTGATCGCCAGTGGCGACAAGTACCAGGTCATGGCGGACGTCAGTCAGTTTGAACCTCACGACATCGTGGTGACCACTTATAACTATTGCATTGTCATCCAGGCAGAGAAGGTAAGATGGCCAATGGGGGTGGGGGCGGGGGGCTGGAATCAAAACTGCAGGAGGCGTGGTTGCAGGCTGTTGTATGGGCGTAGCCAAGGGGGGACAGATCCACCAAAAAATATTGAAAAGCATTGAAAAGACACACACATCCCCAACTCAACAACTTTGGCTGATCCCCTAAGAAAAGCTCAACACCTTTGGCTGCCCACGCCCTCTAACAAAAATCCTGGCTAAGCCCATGGGTGCTGGGTGGATTTTTGATGAGCAGGAGAGGATATTTTGTTTATTCATTATCCTCTTACTTGTGCGAGAATGCAAACACCTATTTCAGCACAGTTAAAAATCGCCTTCCATGTGCAGCTTATATTTAGAAGCTTGGGAGACAAGGTTGTATAACCTTCTAGAAAGAACAATTATGATCTGCAAGGATGCTTAGGCAGATTCGGATCACCTCTCTTCTTATATGTTTCCATCTTAACAAAGAAAATCACCCTCAGACTCCTTTAGGCAAAGAAGAAAATATAAGGTTTACTCACTTGTAAGTCTTGCCAGGATTCAACACATACATTATTGAAAATCAAGCAGGCAATAATCCTAAAAGTTACAAAAATCTATAGTCCAGTCTGAAATGGAGTGCACACTTTTGAGGAGAGCTCGCAGATGGCCCATCCCATTGTAGGTTAGAAGAAGAGAGTGCAGCCACAGAAAGAAAAAGATTAAGTCTTCTATTGTTCCCTTTCTTCCCACAGAAGTTTAGAGGATGTGACACCATATAGTCTCCTGTTTGTGACTCTAGCAGTCATGCATTTGTGGTTTTGGCTGAAAAAATTCCAGCCGTTGCTATAGTTCGGGGGTGAGGACAGCCTTGCATGGAAAGACCTTAGCTGGGGAGGGGGAGGGGACATCTGATCTGCATGCAGGAGAGCTAGGAAAATCCTTGGAGGGCCTCTGTCAGTCAGTGTCAACAAGGCATCCCCAAACTGGTGCCTTCCAAATGGTTTGAACGACAACTCCCTTCCACCCAGAACATGGCCATGCTGGTGCTGGTGCAGTTGGGAGCTGAAGTACGAAATTATAGGGGTGGGGGAACCAGATTGGGGAATGCAGGTGCAGACAGTTCTATTACTGAATTGAATGCATGGAAGACCTGGCTTGGGATAAGGCAGTTTCTTACATTTTATCTACTCAAAAGAACCAACAACTAGAGATAGATGCCTCAGGTTTTCCCTAATTTGCGCACCTTTTTGTCCTGCTTTGATGCATGATGGTAGGTGCTCCTTTGAAGAACTGAACTTATCTTTTAGCCAGCGTAAGTTTGGTACTTGAGATGTGTAAAATGGAAGAGCTGCTTTGGGGGGAACGTCTAAGGCAGGGTGTTTTGCTTGCCCCACAGGTGGCCGAAGACGGCACTGTCTCCAACACTTTCACTCACAAGTGCCAGCTCCCGGCAGACATGGATCCTCTGTCCATCAGCTGCTCCCTGAACGATTCCGGCATGTTGGTCATCACTGCCAGGCGACAACTCCTGGCGCCACCTCCTGTCTTCCGCACAGAGGTCAAGCTTTAACAGCGCATTTTGTCACAACCTGGGAAGCAGGGATCCTTCATAAAACTACCTTGCCTTGGGTAGATTTGCCTAGTAGCCTTGTTCTTGAATAGTTTGAGTGGCACTCTGAATAGCCCAATGTCCCATCATACACTGCTGCTGCAGAACCTTGGAACTTCTGCCTGCAATGCATGCTGGGATCCATCCCCATGTGCGTGTCTTTTGCTGCAGGGATAAAAACTACGACTTAGAACAGTGTGTCTATACTGAGTCAGACTATCTCAGTACTGCCAAGTGACAGGCGGAAGCTGCCCAGGATTTCAGGCACAGGGTTTTCCCCAGCCCTACCTGGAGATGCCAGGAATTGAACCTGCTCCCTTCTGCACGTGAGGCAGATGCTCTACCCCTGAGCTATGGCCCTTCCTTCCTTGGCACTAGATGCAAACTAGGACTCTAGGGCCCTGCTGTGGGACTGGGAGACCCCTGATACAATTCTGGAAACCACCACAGGAGCAGAAGAAGAGGTCCTTAATCTTGCTCAAACACCTCCCATTTTTCCATCCTTCAATAAAGATCACTTCCTGCCGTGCAAGGTCTCTGCTCCTGACTAGAATTGACTCAATGTCACCTTCTTCTTGGCTTCTTTCCCTTGCAATTCCCCTCTTTGATAGCATGGGCAAGGATGAAATGGGACCCAGGCCTTTATGTATTGCTGGAAGATTAGCTGTGTTGATATTTTTTTTTTGCAGCAAAAGCAATAAAAGAGTCTTGTGGCACCTCAAAGACAAATTGGTTAAGTCTCTTCCAAAAATTCTGGAAGGCGTCAGGTTGGGGAGTGCCAAACTTTATCTAACACCCTTTGCAGGAAGGGAATCTTGGTAACTGGCAGGTCCACCAGGAATGAGCCAGTGGGCCACAATCAGCGCCAGTTACGCCACGTTTTGCAGGACACTTGGGAGAAGACACCCTCAGTCTAGCCCTGCCTGCTGTCCATGGCCTCAGCTGCCCTCTCCTCCTGATCCCAAGCCCCAGACATGTCTTGAAGAAGAGGGCAAGGCACCTGAAGGCTGCCCTCCTGGCCTGCTGGGAGAGAGCAGGAGCAGGTGAAGAGACAGAAGCAATGAAGAGGAAGAGGAGCAGAGCCAGAGGGTTGACGGGGGGGGCAGAGGGTCCCTGCTGGGGTGCTAGCAGGGGACAGGTGCCAGATCACAGCAGAATGTTAGAGTAGATGGGGCATTGCCCCCCAAACCTCTCTGCCAGCATCCACTTGTCTACCTTCCTTACAACCAATCGAGGGGATGGCACTGCACACACCTTACATTTGAAGCAAATCCAAAGTATATTGCTTCTCCCCAAGAATCCTGGCAGCTGTATTTTCCCCTTTGTTGTTGTTTAGTCGTGTCCAACTCTTCGTGGCCCAATTCCCAGCCCTCTCAACAAACTGTGCTTCCCAGGATTCTTTGGAGAAGGTCAATACACATGTGTGTTGGACAGTCTTCATGGCATGAAAGTTGTCCAATTGGCATCATCATCATCTTCTTCTTCTTCTTCTTCTTCTTCTTCTTCTTCTTCTTATTATTATTATTATTATTATTATTATTATTATTATTATTTCTTCCCACCATTTTCCCTAATAGAGACTCAAGTCAGCTTACAGATGCAATGAGAACTTGGCCGGTAGGAGGGTGGAATCAAAAGTATAATGGTTTGGCCGTGGCTCCACCTGCTGGTAGCCTCCCAGCCTCCTGCCCTCCCAGCTTCAATGGGCAGCAGCAACCACTGTGCCTGCTGATGCTGTTGTCCCACAGCACGCTGCCCATCCCTAGTTCAAGGTGTTGCTTTGGGTGTATAAGAGAAAGAAAAAGGAAGGAAGGAAAGGGTGCAGGAAAGGGTTAAAGCTGAAGACCCCTCTGTGCCAAAACCATCATCACATAGGAGTTGTATGCTGAGTCATAGAATCATAGAATCATAGAGCTGGAATAGACCACAAGGGCCATCGAGTCCAACCCCCTGCAAAGCAGGAAACACCATCAGAGCACTCCTGACATATGGTTGTCAAGCCTCTGCTTAAAGACCTCCAAAGAAGGAGACTCCACCACACTCCTTGGCAGCAAATTCCACTGTCGAACAGCTCTTACTGTCAGGAAGTTCTTCCTAATGTTTAGGTGGAATCTTCTTTCTTGTAGTTTGGATCCATTGAGTCAGACCACTGGTCCACCAGGCTCATTATTATCAACACTGCTTGGCCCTCCAAGGCTGTGAAAGAGTTTTCAGGCAGTAGTCCTTCCCAGACCTACCTGGAGATGCAAGAAATTGAACCCAGGACCTTGTGCACCCAAAGCAAATGCTCTAAAGCTAAGCTAGGCCTTTCCCCAAGAGCTCCAAGTAGAAAGCAGGAGATCTCAGAGAGGCTAGCTAAAAAAAGAGCCACTTGACCTCTGCGCGGGGCTTTTCAGTGCTTGCCCAGCTCCAAAAGAATTGCCCAGTTCTGACCTTGCTGCACCCACATACATTGCCACAGGGGCAGGCAGCATTTCTACCCCTCCTTCCATTGGCCCCAGTCTAAACCCACGCCAACAAACCCGAAATAGTTTTATTTCTCCGCAGCTGACCAGCCCGCCGCCTCCACCCCACCGAAAGCTCTTTTGAAAGGACCAGCACAACTTTGGCAGAGGAGGAGCTGCTGGCGCTCGCTGACTGCCTCGTTCTTTTCTCTCCCTCTTTTTTTTTCCGGAGGAGATGCCAGCTGCTCATTACATCTCTATAGCACAGTAGTTTTATTTCCGTTTCCCTCTCTATTCCAAGCCCCAGGATCCCTGGCTCAGCATTCTTTTGCGCAGCTCCCGGAAGGCCAGCTCAGACTCTTTATTGACTAGGCAGTGTGTGTGTGTGTGTGTGTGTGTGTGTGTGTGTGTTTCTGGCAATAAAATAAAATAAAGGCAGAGGGGGAGAGAGAGCTGCTGGAGTTGGCAGGAGGATATGAGTTCTGCAAGATCTGAGCTCGAGGGCAGAACCCTAGCTTCCCAGAATCCTTCAGTGACGAATGCAGGCCAATTCCTATGTGGCACACTTCCCCGTGGAAAACACAGGCCTGGTTCTCTAGCACAGAATCCAGCTGCCAGGGGCAATAGAGATGGTGGCAGCAATGAGGTTGTGCTTTCACCTTTTAAGAAAAATCCAGGCGAGACAGCAGCCCATAAGAAAATGTTAAAAGTGTGCCAAGGGATGGGGCGAGGACTTCCGTGTGTGCTACTTAGCTCTGTGTCGCATGAAGCTGCCTTCTACCAAGCTGGGATAGCTCGCTCAGTAGAGCATGTGACTCTTAATCTCAGGGTCATGGGTTCAAGCCCTACTTTGGCCAAAAAGATTTCTGCATTGCAGGGGGTTGGACTAAATGACCCTTGCGGGTACCTTCCAGCTTACAATTCACATAGGGCCGGCCTTATTGTTAGACAAAAGGAGGTGGCTGCCTCAGGCAGCAGCGTGGTCAAGTCGCTTGGAGACATTTCAGGTACATTGCCTTCGCCGTGGCTAATAACCTTTGACAGCTGAATTTGTCCTATCGCCTTCTAAACCCAGCCAGCTTGGCAGCCCCTGCAACCCGTTGTGGCAGGGAGTTCCGCAATTCAAGCAGGGTCGCCATTTCTCTGCTGGGCTTCTGTGAATGACCTCAGTTGGGACTGAAATCTGCATGCAAACCATGAAGGATAGCCCCACCCTGCCTTCTCAAAGCATCGCAGAATTGTAGCGTTGCAAAGGGTCATCTAGAGTAGTCCTAACTTTGCAACGCAGAAACCCCAGTTAAAGAATCGCTGACAGCTGGCTATCCAACCTCTCCTTGAAGGAGATTCTATCCCCTTCCTGGGTAGTCCGGTCTGTTTGTTTGCTTTTGCCTGTAGAAGCCTCTCCCCTTAGTGCAGCAGCTCTGGGCACCCGCGTACTGGTCCAGGAGCCTCCATCCCTCTGCCTCCCTCGTTTTTCCTCCTGCAACGCGGCACTCATCACGCGGCGGAAAAGGCCTTTCCGGGGGCCGAGGCGAGCCCTGCGCAACAGCTGCGGAGCGCGCCAGCTGCTGCCGGCGGGCAAAGAGGTCGGAGGGTCGCGGGTCTTGCAGCAAGCTCGGCCCGCTGCAGCAGCCACACGGCCGCCCTGGCGCGCCGCCGCCGCCGCGCGTCCTGACGAGCGCGGCTGCAGCCCCAGGAAGAGCTTCTCCTTCGGTGTCAGCGGAGAGAGGCGGCCGGGAGGAGGAGAAGCGGCGGCAGAGCACGGCGATCGGCGGGAAGCAGCTGGAGCCAGGAGGCGGCGCTGGTGGCGGGGTGGGAGAGGAGGTGGAAGGGCAGGCCAATGCAAGGGGGAGGCTGCAGCGAAATTTCATGAACTAGGAACCCCGAAATTTCGAATCCCCTCCAAACTGGCGCCAAGGATTCGTCGTGGTTTTGTAGCGCGAGCGTTATGCCAGGCATCCCAAAACTGAGTAATCGAAACGACTACAAAACTTTGGCACAGGTTTGGAGGGGACCCAAAATTTCGGGGTTAAGGAGGCTCTCCGGAGAGACCAGGGTGGGCTTGTTGGCGGAGGAGGGAGGGTAGGTGGGCGTGAAAGGGTTAAAACAGGCGGTCAAGCTCCCTTGGTCTGGAAGCAGGTTTTCCTCAGGACCTGCAGCAGGGGAGCAAAGGTTTAAACCGCCCCCGCACAAACACACACACTCCACCCCTATTGTGGTCGCAATTCACCATCAGTCCCTTCTCTCTTCCCCCAACCTCTGGTGCCATGTGCATTTCTAAAAACCTGCAGGTTAAATTCAAAGGTGGGTGGGTTTATTGCCAAAATAGCCTACTTAGAATCTTCTTTGCGTGGGGCTAAGTATTAGGGAATTCCAGGTTAAGGCTCCACAAGCCAGAGTTGAGGACACAGGGATTTCCACATAGGGCAAGTGTTGGGCGTGAAGCGCTGGCATGTGGCACCCCCAAGACACTATTGGTCTCTTCCTTGCAATCTGCCAGAGCCTGTATTCTCATGCAATGGTGCGCGATATCTAAAATAAGGCAATCAAAACTGACTACTTTTGATTGCTAGAGAAGCACACACATGGAGGAAGTTGGATCTCCCAGGGTCTACAGGAAATTCTCTGAGAGTGCCACTCCCACTGTGCCCAGCCAGGTAAGGGGGCACAACCTATAGAAGCTGTGCACGTCCCCAGCCTGCTCTCTCTCTGATCCCTGCTATGTGATCTCTTCTCTTCGATGCTTCATCATTGACTAGGGATGCAGGATGCGTGCTGAGTCACAGCTCAGACTCCAATCCTAATCTAAACTATGTCTGTACAGCTGCACCTTGGTTGTCGAACGCTGTTTTGGCTCCCGAACGGCACAAACCCGGAAGTGAGTGTTCCGGTTTGCATGCGTTTTTTGGAAGCCGAACGTCCGATGCGGCTTCCGGTTGAGTGCAGGAAGCTCCTGCAGCCAATCGGAAGCTGCGCCTTGGTTTTCAAACCTTTCCGGGAGTCAGGTGGACTCCCGGAACAGATTAAGTTCGACAGCCAAGGTACGACTGTGGTTCCGTTTTAAGCCTGCCTCAAGACTGCTACTGTG